TATCACAATACAATGTCGAGGGGCCCTACTATTTCCAGACATTATACCTTCTCTTGCCACCCTAGTGTGCTGTGCCTAAAGGGTCCTAGCCTTATGAATGTTTCCCAAAATCTCATTACCACTCTTTTTTATCTTTTTCATGAGACAATTTCCCCCCCAGATTTTACAAATTTTCACACATTTCATCAAACATTTCTTAACAGAGCAACAGTCAAAGAATTTTAGTGGTAAATATAGAAACAGCACCTATGAGAGATACTGGAAATGTATTGCAGAAACGTAAAACATTAATTCCATTTTTTTCTTGTAAGTAATATCATTCCAGGAAATCCTAATGAATCTTAATACTCTAGTTATAGGTTAGACAGAATGAGAATTTATCACCACATTTAAAATATAGCACATAAAGATCTCCCACATATTCACCGAAGGTTGAAAGAGCTGTTGCAATTAACATGTTCCTCCCATCAATTAAATTTTAATTTATATCCAATCAATGTAGGAATCATTCAAGTAATCAATACCATGTAATGTCACTTACAAAAATCACACTGTCACTCATCAAAATTGTACCAAATAAGCTCAAGTCAATAACAGCAACCGCTAGAAATACTGAGCTGAAGTTAGCACTGAACATCTTGAGCAAAAATCTGAGATTCTGAAGCAAAGACTGAAATGAACCACCACCAGCGGCATTAAATATAAAACAATCACAAATCACAAAGGTAATGATTTACAAACTCTTATTTCTTGTGTCACCTTACTAATGTGCACTACAAAGAGATGTATTACACACAACAGCAATCTAATTCCTCTCTAATTTCAATGCTCTTTCCTGAAATCACTGCCACAGGATGTATTCAAACCAATTGCCTGGGAGATTTACACACACAAGTATTGCCAAAAAAATGTGACAAAGCACATAAAAAGCAAAACAATAACAATAACCTCTTAGTCACTCCACAATAACAATAACAAACAAACAAAGAATTATCAGATATCCACAAAAAAACTGAAGAGATCACACATGAAATTAAAAAAAAAGACAAAACCAACTTATGTCAAAGCACTGTCCTGTTCTAGGGACTCCCAGGGAAGAGGATAACACAAAAACCAGGTTTGAAAAGATGTGTACCCGGTACCTGTTGCCATGTCAACCGGGGGGAGGGGGAGGGGGAGGGGACACTGAGGCAGAGGGGAGGGGGACTGAGGGAGATTGAGGGGGAGGGGGAGAACTGGGAGGGGGAGAACTGGGAGGAGAGAGGGAGAGAGAGGGAGGACTAAGGGAGATTGGGGGGAGAGGGGAGTGGGAAGGAGATAGGGGAGATAGGGGAGGGAGGGGAAGGGGAAGAAGGGGAGGGAAGGGGAAGAAGGGGAGGGAGAGGGAGAGAGAGGGAGGGAGAGGGAGAGAGAGGGAGGGAGAGGGAGGGAGAGGGAGAGAGAGGGGAGAGGGAGAGGGAGAGAGAGGGAGAGAGAGGGAGAGGAGAGGGAGAGGGAGAGGGAGAGGGAGAGGGAGAGGGAGAGGGAGAGGGAGAGGGAGAGGAGAGAGAGAGAGAGAGAGAGAGAGAGAGAGAGAGAGAGAGAGAGAGAGAGAGAGAGAGAGAGAGAGAGAGAGAGAGAGAGAAATAGTCAGAGACAGAGAGAAAGAAAAAAGAGAGGAGAGAGAAGGTAAAACAGAGAATGAGAAGAAAGAAGAAAAAAGAATGGGGAAGGAATAGGAGAGAAAGGAAAAAATAAGAGAAAGAATAAGAGGAAGATAAAAATCTGTATAAAAACAAAGTTTGTTACACGGAAAATAAGTTACTTTAACATCTAAACCCTGTATACTTTATCAAAAATAGAAACAGAATTAATTGCTTACTTTTTTAAGTTGACACACACACTTAACCCCCCAAAAAATAACCAGAAACAGAGAATCAGGTTTGATTATCATCTTCTTTCTTTACTTTTTATTTTTCTACACTATGACAATACGAAAATAAATAATTCACGGTGTTTGGATCTGTCACGAATTCATATTTAAAATTCTTCAGTTATTCCTAAAACACGCTAGTTATTTTCTTATTTCCAGTAAATAGAGTGAGAGTCAGTGACGAGTGAATTAATGTGTAAAGAGAGAGGGAGAAACATAATCATAATAATCACAAAAATAAACATTAATTGCAAAATCTCCGACAGGCCGGACACCCTCCCTCAGCATCGCCATATCAAAAAGCGATTAATTTCGCGTCTCTCCCTCTCTTCCCCTCTCTCCCTCACCTCTTCCTCCGCGTCTCCCTCTTCTCCCTCCTCCCAAGTCCCCCGCCAGCGCAAAAAAGGGGCGAAAAGGGCGCAAAAAAGGCCTCACCTGGAGCATGAGGGAAGTTCACCTTGGAAGGATTTTTCTCCCTTCGTCTGACCAAAACACGGATTAGTTTCCTCCGCCGCCGATAGATGGCTCTCGCGAGGGCCGGGGGAAACGCGCGCATTTCAAATTGTTTTATTTAGCATTTTTTTTTTA